ATAGTTTTATACAGGGGCAGTAAGATATTCTGGGTCTTATTTTCTATCCCTTTCTTAATAATTCCTAGCATCCCATTTGCCTTTTTGACCACTGCTGCACACTGCGTGGAAGTTTTCAGAGAACTGTCCACAATAACTCCAAGATCTCTTTCCTGATTTGTTGTAGCCAAATTAGCCCCCATCATACTGTACGTATAGTTGGGGTTATTTTTCCCGATGTGCATTACTTTACACTTATCCACATTAAATTTCATTTGCCATTTTGTTGCCCAATCACTCAGTTTGGTGAGATCTTCTTGGAGTCCCTCACAGTCTGCTTCTGTCTTGACTATCCTAAACAGTTTGGTATCATCTGCAAACTTTACCACCTCACTGCTTTTACCCCTTTTTCCAGATCATTTATGAATAAGTTGAAAAGGATTGGTCCCAGGACTGATCGTTGGGGGACACCACCAGTTACCCCTCTCCATCCTGAAAATTTACCATTTATTCCTACCCTTTACAGAAAATATGTTGACTTTTGTCCAACAAATTATGTTGTCCTACATGTTTCACAAATTTATTCTTTACTATTGTTTCGACTAATTTCTTCTGCTTTTTTAGTGGAAGAGCACACATGATCTTTTGGTCACCCCTATATTCCTCTTTCCATGAGGAATAAAGGGCCTTTCAAAAGAAAGGGTTTTTCTGACATTTGGTCCAGTCTAGACAGGGCAAATGTTGGAAAACCCTCTTCCTACAGAAGAATTAAAACAAAACAAACAAACTAGCAGTATAAAGATTGGGGATAGCAAGGGATGGAGAGGAGGAGAATAGAGAGGGCGGGGCTTTAAGGAAGGGGCGGGGCGGTAGATCTTGGCTTGGTGTGTAAAAAGGCTGGAGACTACTGAACTACAGGCTTCCCCCGCTCCCTGGAAAGGCCCACACATCAGTCCTACTCCTTCCAGCGAGCGGCCACCAGGGGTCAGGCATGTCCGCGAGCTCTGGTTGGAAGGAGCCCGTTAGCAGCCCGGCTCCCTGGCGCTCGCGCGCGCTGTTCGGAGGCTGAGGCGCTGAATGGCCCTTCCGCTTTCCTCGCTGCTGCAGCCTCTCGAGTTCTCCCGCCCCAACTCCAGCCGCCAGGGGAGAGCCCAGAGCCCGCCCGGCCCCGCTCCGCCGGGCTCTGAGGGAGGCGCGTTTCACCCGGCGCTTGTTAACCCGTCGCTTGCTGAGGCGAGCGCTGAGCGACACGTGCGTGTAACAAGACGCCGACCGTGCGGATGACACAGCTGCTTCATCACAACCCAGCGGCCCTAGCTCTGCCCGGCTGGCGGGTGAGGGGTGTCACCGCAGGGACCTCGCGCTGTGCGTGTGCAGGAAAGCGGCTCCTCCCGTGACAGGCCGGGTGGCGGGTGTCGCTTACGGAGCGGCGGCGCAGCAGGGCGTTACCCGTCCCGCAGAGCCAGTGGGACAGTCCCGCGCAGCCCCTTCCCCCCAGCGCGGACCCGCCAGCTCAGGGGCCGCTCTGCTCCCTGCATCGGCTGCCCACACACACACCGTGCTGGCCCCGCCTGAGAGGCGCCGGGGGCCGCACCGCGCATGCTCGACGCGGGCGCCATTTTGGTGGGGCCGGGAATTATCCAGCGGGAGCGGCGGAGCTCGCTGGGCCCGGCTCGGAGGCAGCGGCGTGTGGCTGCCGGCTGCAGAGATGGCCAACATCGCGGTGCAGAGGATCAAGCGGGAGTTCAAGGAGGTGCTGAAGAGCGAGGAGGTCAGAGACTCCCCCCGGCCCTGGCGGTGTGCGGGGCGCCCGACAGTCCCTCCTTCTCCTCCCGCGGCTGGGGGAGGGTCTGTCCCAGCCTCTCGGCTGAGGGGGAGGGTAACGGCGGCTCCTGAGGATGAGGGACCCAGCAGCGGGGACGGGGAGCCTGGGCCCGCTCCGGCAGCGGATGATTCTCGGCGCGGGGGCAGGCCTGCAAGGGGTAGGAAGTGTGGCCGGGCAGCGAGCGAGATGCCTGGACAAGGCCGGGAAACCCCCGGGAAAAGCGCCGCCTCCACCACCCAGTCTGGTTTGGTCGGCCCAAAAAGAAGGCTCAGGGGAGCCTAATAACGGGGCGGGCCGCGCGCGTGTGTGGGGAGGTGTCGTCTCCGGGGTCCCCTGCCCACGGATACAGCGGGAGATTCCTCTATTTCACGGCTGGGGCACTGGGGAGAGGCTTTCCCATGCGACCTAAATGGAGATGGGGCAAAGACAGGATGGGTAAGAACACACGTCCCATTTCATCCAGCTCCCTCGTTAGCCTGTGGCTTATACTGCAGAGTGATACATTGTGTGTGTGGTTTTTTTAAAATAAAAGCCCATTTAACTAGATTTCCTTAATCCAAGGCTTCCTTTTACCCCCAACATAGGTTATGTCACCTTGGTGTGCATATCTTTAACCCTCTCTCCACCTGACATCCCGGTGCCCTATTAATCATTCTTGATACATTCCCTGTAAGGGATGTACAGTAATTAAGGAAAGGAGGAAGTGATAAAGAACTTTAAGTGTATTTCCAGGGACTATAGAATAGCATTTACAGTGATTGTGTCAGAGTTATTTTCGCTGTCTGTAAATCTGTGTTGGTAAATGTCAGCGAGATAGGTTTTGATGTTTGTGTCATCACCATCATACTCCTGAGGATGATGAGGCATGTTGTATGCTTGTGAAATATTAATGTGCAGTTTGACTCTGAAAACCGATGATTTTAGACACTGTACCAGTCAGCTAGATTCATAGTCAGAAAACCAAGATGCTACTAACTTCCTGAGGATTTGTGTTGCTTACAGAAAACATGTTTAGAATTGGTCTAGTTGATGTCCTTCTGAATATAATGTGCTAACGGCATTATTGTTACACAGCTCAAAATAAACTATTCTCCACAAAATCTTAGAGCTTAATTTCTACAGCTATTGTGCATGTGATGCTCAAGTTGATTTCAATGTGAGTTCCAGTGTGTAATGATTACAGAACCCAAATACTAAATTAGAACAGATCCTGAATGGTCAGCTGTGTATTTATATGCTAAAATTAGAATATCCCAAAGTGTTTACTTTCTCTGAACAATACATCTTAAAGTTGACTGCTTAGACCTTTATATAAGAGAGCACTCCAAATTTCCCCCTTGTGTTATTTAGAAAGAGAAACCTTGCCATATGCATCAGTGATATAAACATGGTTAGATCTTTTAATTTTCTTAAGACAAGTTTGGGACTCAGGGAGCAATTTTGTTTTAAATTCCTGTTTAATATATGTGCCGGAGATTTTGATTACATTGAAGATAAAAAAGAAATTACTTTGTTTGGGTGAACTGAATTTGTGAATTTTGAGACAACCCTTACTCTTGGCAGGATTCCTGCATCTTGTAAATTAAATATTAAAGAGCATTATCCCCCCATCCCCTCCCAGGATTCAGCTATTTCTATCAGTACATATATAATTACTGTTTATATTACAGGCTTTCATGGGTATTCGGAATACATACTTCTTTGATGTAATTGTGGATGTTTATTACAATGACACACTGATTCTAGATACATGTATTGGGAATACCTTGACTTGATTTTTTTCAAAGTCCGATTAAACTTTTTTCCAGCGGTAGTGTGAAAACATTCAGTATGAGATGTACAGAGGTATGACTAGATATTTTTGTACTTTGGCAATCTGAATTCACAACTTTATCAAGAAAAATTGATTGTCACAAATTATATAGCTAAAATGTGTTTTAATTTAAAATTTGTCTTGCATCAAGGAAAAGTTGCTGATCTTATCTACTCTTAAACATTCTTGGAGTGATGTCTCAAGCCATAGCTGAACATAAAAGCTGGCAATCTGTTTCCCTGCAAATGCCACCAAATGGCATTTGCTACCATATTGCATTTTGGAGAGAGAACGTACAGAGTTTGCCATTTACATTCTTCCAAAAGTGCATTCTGGACTTAGCTAAGTGGGAACCAGCCAAATGCAGTTTTAGAAGAGGATGGAAGAGGGGCAGATCAACAACTTCTGCAATTCAGAGATTTTTACAGATGCAGGCCAATATTCAAACTTTTGAAACTTAGGTGAATGAAAGATTTTTAAAATGTGTATTTCCTAGCCATAGTTTTCATATCTAATGCTCTGTGTTTTTGTCTAGAAATGCCACTTTGGGTGTATCTTTTAATAACTATTTTTCCAGGCTTGGCTTCAAGTTTATGGGCCAAGGAATTTTTTTAAATTTATTTTGTGTTCTATTGCTTGTCTTATATGAGTAGTTGAAATGCTTTTTAAAAACCTATTTTTTGTTCTTGCCTAATTAGTTTATCGTGAGTTATCACATCTGGAAAAAAATGAGTGGAATGCTGAATTTTTAGCAGACATCCTTTTAACTTAGTGTTCCTTAGGTTTTGAATTAAACAGGTAAGACCAGAAATGATTTTTTTAAACTGTGGAAAATTCATCCTCTCTTTATTTAGACTATGATTTAGAGTATTGTGGTAGCATGTGTTGACTTATGTGCTAACAAATGTGACTAAACATTCTAGTGTAGACAAGGCACAAGCTGCCTTTAACGTGTGTTAAACTGGTCAGGTAAAAATCTTACTGCATCTGCTCCCACAGATTTTAACATGACCAGCTTAGTACTAATCAGTATTAGTAACTGTATTGCAGTTTAATACAGTCTAAAGGCAATATAGTTTGCACTAGAACGTTATACAGTAAAAACTTTTTTTAATCTGGTATGTTGGGGATATGGGGGTTGATGATGAGTGAAAAATTCCAGTTAAATAAGAGGAAGGAAGTTTGCAGCAGGAGTGATTGGCAGAGAGGATGCAGGCTCTGGGAGGGAGTTTGGGTGAGAGACATACAAGGCTAGGCGTTGGGATGCAGGAGCAGTTTTGGGGTGCTGGATATGGGGGGCACTCACCTTGAGCAACTCCCCATTAGCAGCAACCTTTTCCTGCTGCTCCTGGCAGAGCTGTGGCTAGATGGCTCTGTATGCAGCCTTCACCTACAGATGCCACCATTGCAGCTCCCATTGTATGTGGCTCCCAGTCATGCAAAGCTGCCTAATCACATCTCCACCTAGAAGCAGCAGGGACAGGTGGCTTCTTATGGGGAGCCGCCCCATGCAAGCACTCCTCCAGATCCAGCACCCTAAAACACTTCCCATGTTCCTGCTCTGAGCTTTCTTCCACACCCAAAATCCTGCACAGAGCCTGCACCCTGCACGCCGTGCCCCTTATGACCATTTCTCTACTTAGGAGCAGCAGGGATATGTCACTGCTTCTGAGAAGCTATGCAGAGCCAGGTGGTAAGCTTGCCAGCTGTGTGCCCAAACTAGGGATGTTAAGAAGCATGTTATTCATTAATCATGTAGTTGACACAAATTTTGTCACCTACACAATTAATCTATAAGGGTTAGCACTGTTACCATTCAGTCCTGGCTTGTGCCGCAACCCAGCATCAACCCCCACTGTGGGCTCTGCACAACATGGCACTTGAAGAGCCAATGTGCGGGGAGGCTGGCTCAGTCCCAGATCGTGTCGGGACCCGGCATCAACCCTCAACATGGCACTTGAAGAGCCAGTGCGCAAGACTGAGCCAGCCTGCCTGCGTGCTGGTTATTTGAGTGCCGGGTTGTGCAAAGCTGCAGCGGGGGTTGATGCTGTGTCCAGCATAAGCCAGAAGTGAGCCAGCCTATAGGCCAGTTGATTAAAAAATTTACTTGCAGAGCCACTTGGGGAGTGGGATCTCTCTCTCTCTCTCTCTCTCTGTGTGTGTGTGTGTGTGTGTGTGTGTGTGTGTGTGTGTGTGTGTGTATAGTTGATAGTGTTTAGTTGACTACACTATTACATTCCTAGTGTAAACAGTGAACTGATTACTCTGGTTAACCAGTTAACTAATTAAACAGGACCTTACATCTCTATTATAAACTAGACTTTGTATGGATATTAGAAATGCTGGTTTAAGGAGTTTCTAGCTCTGTACCAGCTGGCCAACACAGATTTTTACTGTAATGCATTAGCATATGTTAATTAACATCCCACTTGAAATCTTACTCTGGAAAAAGCCTCAGTTTTCAGTCTCTTCTCTTGTGATGTTATTTCTTGTGATGTTCATTACTTCTCCATCACATTAGTCTTACAAGGTAGGCTTCCTGAATTTCTAATATCACAAAAATATATTTTGTGCAAAACCTTTTAGACTGACTTGAAACATTATCGAGAAACAAATAAGGGTACCAAATCCAATTTTCTTTCACTTGACACTGCTGAGGGGTACCTCTGGGGGGTGAGGGGGGAAGGAGGGAGCACAGTAGAACAGGCATCTTATATAATTCCAGCATAGCCTTCCTGGAGCAGTGCAACAGGTAATTGAATCACTCTGCCCACCTGTCCATCTCTAAGGAGTTAGTTTGTGGAAGAGAAAGAATCTTCCTAGGGGAGTATCTGTTGAAAAAAATAAGATTGTGACCTGGAGGGACACTTTGAAGACTGGGTTTGGTTCAATATGCACATTACATCTTCTTATTTAATGTATTTATATAGTGTTATAGATGTATATCGGGGTGGAGAAGAGGATGCCAGCGGGCTGAATCTGGCCCGCCAAGCTACCAGATCCAGCCTGTGGCTGTCTCGCCAGGATCCCAAGAGAGCAACTCACACTTGAAATAAGGAGCTGCTCTCCACTCTGGACAGCGAGGAAGGCTTCGCACTCTGCCCCTGCCTCCCCATCAAAATTTCTCAGCTCC